CTTGTTCCCAGGGCTTTTTTCCTTGACAATGGGAGGGGGTGCCCCTCCGATTTTTAATGGGAAAAGCCTTGGGAACAAAATTGCTCTTTCAGGTGGGCTTGACGACTGCAACACAATGCTTTTCTAAACTGCAAAATAAAACGCATTCCAAGATTAATTTGATAATTTAAGATAGTATTTATATTCCTTACCTTAAGCAGGCCAATTCCTCAACAAGTCATTCGCGCTTCTTCAAAGAAAGCGTCTAAACGCTTCTGTCGTCAGCACATCTTGAAACGCGCACATGTGTTTTACTAGCATGCTGTTAAGTCTCCCCCAATGAAAGCTTATGGTTAACAGCTTGATCTTCTTTCAAAGGGCAAATCTTGAAGGATAGCAGCTTCGAAATTAACATCATTTAGAGGTGTATGTATTATGCTGCGTTGTAACATCGTCACAGACCTCTAGAACAAATTCATTACATACATCCAAAGCCTTGCGACAGAAAAAAAATCCTGGAAACGAAATGTACCTGAAATAAATTTTCTCTTAGGTTAGTAAAAATACCTTAATGGTATTGTTCTAAAGAAAGAAGATGCACAGCTATGGTTTTGTTATTCTTTATTGTTGAACTGATTACAATGTTACACACGCCTCATAACAATTATGCGCAACCATCACGTACCGTATTCCAAGAAAAAAACCTGAAAAGGAAACGTTTCCTGAAATAAAATGTCTTAGGTTAGTACGTATCATTGCTTTTAAAGAAAAAAACATCAGCCATGTTTTTGTTCGATTTTATTGTTTCTCAAAGTTACAGCAGTTTACATGGCTAATGCTTGCTGGGAGTGAGATCCTCCTGAAACAAAACGACCGGTTAGTGCTTTTAGTTTATAATTACGTAATTGTTTAATTAAATTAAGAAAAGACACGAGACAACATTATTTGATATTTTTATTAAATGTAAGAAACGTTTACACAAATTCAAGTCAATGAGAGCCGGAGATGAAACGCGCTCCTATATGAAAAATTTGGCATCCAGAGTACTTAACCGAGAAGTGTTCATGTGTCCCCATAAAACTTTATCGACACCTCGAATGAAACACTCCAGGGTCCTCTAGATGGTACATGCGCAGAAGTAGTAACGGCTCCTATCGACACTTTGTCGATACCAAGCCTTGCCGTTGACGAAAGCCGAAATCGATAAAAATCCGAAA